GTAGGTCATTGCAACAGATGACAGTGCTGCTAACTTACGTTCTTTTGTTTTGAAATGCGGGAAAGACAACTTTGGGAGTTGATTTTTGAGTTCAAGGCATAGTGAACTACTTTCACAGAGATAACTTTTGTTCTTATATTTCTGGTTTGAATTTATCCAGTCCAAACTTTTTGTGTTAATAATGTTTAAAAGAATGAGCAGAAACTTGATTTGAAAGTATTTATTTTCCCTCTTCCTGCTTCTTCCTCCAATCAGCTCAGATGTCAGAGTTMTGGCTCCGCCTCTTTGTTGCTGAAATGGATAATTTTCTGAAAACACATCTGAAAAAGACAAACACTTTAATCTGTGATTCATGAACCATTTTGAGTTGTGTTCTGTTGTCACATTCAGGCTTAATTTGGTATCTGTGTTAAGTTTTGGTTACTGACTGTAGCTGACACCACGAGTGAGAGGTCTGTGTTACAGACATATAGAGGGAAAAAGGCCAGGACAATTAAGTGTCACCAAGTACTAGTCCTGATGGTTGAGTAAGGTCTTKTCTGTATTRACACATGGTCATGCTAATGTAGTCAACAGYAGCAGATAACTCTCTGCTAAACATTTCTTCTACAAAAACAAAAAGAAAACATTGATGCAATGAAAAAGTTTAAATTATTGCAACTCACAGTGAAGTTCACAGTATTCAGGATTTATAGTTGTTAAAATTTTTAGTAACTGGAGTAAGAGAAACATGGGATTCATAGTTTGTACAACTTAAAATTAAAAGTTACTGCTACTTTCATGTGAAGTAGAAGACTCAGCAAACAAAGTTCTTACAACCTAAAACTTTAAGTTTCTATAACTTTTGGTTGAGTTACAAAAACATGGAAATCAAAGTTTGGCGAACTCAAAACCAAAACTTAGTTAAGTTGAAGTCCAAARCTTAAAAATGCCCTGAAGTTTTTTGCCTCACAATTTTGAGTTCTGCCAACTTTTCTTTTTTTACAGGGTACCCACTTTGACTGCTGCCCCTGTAGAACATATGTGTTTGTGATTTCATTTGTCGGAGTATATTTTTAGAATGAAGATGTCAGGTTTGGACCAAACTGATAATTAATAACTAAGCATTGTGGATTTTAGATGGATCTTTGCCTCTGATCGTTTCTGTGAGAGGGGAGCTCCATGCAGGACTCCATTGTGAAAAAACTTTGAGACATTTTTTCAGGTGCTTTGCCTTGATTCTTGGCACCCTCTCAGTCCAGGATGACGTGAAACTAGACATTGGTGGTTCCTAAATATCATAATGCCCTTTTATCTTAGGGAACTACAGCGGGTAAAATAAGTATTGAACACGTCACCATTTTTCTCAGTAAATATATTACTAGAGGTGCTGATGACATGAAATTTTCACCAGATGTCGGTAACAACCCAAGTGATCCATACATACAAAGAAATCAAACCATAAATGTCCATTTGTAATAATGTGGAAT